TATAACGCAAGGCTCCTGATATATTGTAACAATATTAGTTGAAAAATATTAAAAATACATAGGCACAATGTTTTCTTATAATCATTTAAAGTTTGAATTTTGACAAAATTGATCAAATTTAAAATATAATAAATATTTTGTAATTAAAAATTTATAAAATGTTCAACTTTCATAGTTAAGGATTAAAAATTTAAAACAATGGTCCACGTAAATAGGTAAATATATAAATTACTTTATTCACAATAATATCATCAAATATACTTAGTAATATCATAGGCTGACTGACCGTTTTCGCTTAGAATCGTTTTTCTTATACAATGATATTATATCATTGAATTCAAATTTTACACTATCCATTACAGTGACCCACTTGTTACCTACTGTGCAGCAGAGCGACATCCACTTACCCACTTTTTGTTTATTGTGTGACTATGTTGATAATTTTGTTCAGCCCCTCCCGAAATAAAATTCTGGATACGCGCCTGACTGGTACCGTCGGTGCTGCGATCCGCGGTCGTATCGAGTCATCGGCGGTGGCCGGAGAACGTGCTCTGGCGTCTCACCACCGAGCACCCCAAGTACAGTTTCACTTACCTCTAACCCCAAGTAGCCGTCGCCTCGTCAATCGATGACCTCGACCTAAAGAGATGGAGGATGTCAGGTTCGTCGGCCGCGAAACGCATCATTCGACGGCGTGGAGTTACTACTGCGTGTGGTGTCGCCGTGCCGGTGTTGCTTCCGGTTCAAGCCTGCCGAGTGGCGACCAGAATCCCAAACAAATAAACGAGTCCATGATGTCTTCCAGAACCCACTTGATAGTCGTTTCGATGTTGTTACTGGAAGGTTAGTATTTAGGAAGTCTTCGAATACTTTCGCGACTGTCGTGTCAGTTTCATATAAACCCTGAATCTGTATAGTTTATTCTCCGAATAGGTAATTGCAAATGAACTATATATTCGGATTTCAGCCTACTCTGTTGTCGAGCAAACCAAATATCTCTCAGATGACACAACTGTTTTATTAGGTAGGTACTAGACAGCGAGTACATTCATCAATCGGCCAGCATTAACTATTTAGCTAAAGGATTTCAGATAATATAACTATATATTATAAATTTAGGACCCGGAGGCCAGAAGTATATGGACTAAAAACTACGCAAACTGCGATAAAATAGCTAGGTAACTTTTATTTAAGTATTGCCGCGCTAAAAAATAGTTACAAATTTTTATTTTTGAAAATTAAATGTTTGAAAAAATGTATGAGTATACAACTGTATCGTAATAATAATAATGTGTAATTAAAGTCTTTACAATGTTTTTGTAAAATCGTTATTTATGAGTTATGATTAATATTATTAAAAAATTAAAGATTTCGAAAATGTTTTTATTATTAAAACTTTAGAGCTTTTGTGGCGCGGGTTGAAGTTAAACAATTTGTATGAAATTTTTTCTTATGCTTTTTTTAAGTAGTGAAACCATTTGAGAGGGGTAACTTAAACATTTTGCAATTTTTTTTCCCCTTCATCTATACCAAAGGACCACGCCTTAAGGTTAGGTTAGCACCTAATAAAAACATAATACAAAATTGTATTTTGAAGTTTATTCTTCAGTTTTATTCTAAAACAATATAAGTATACATTTTAATTCATACATCTAAAAAATTAATTATTTATCAAGCTATAATCATTAACTATAACCATAAAAATCAAGAAATTACAAACATCTTGGGTCAACAATCAATATTTTATAGATGGATTTTATATGTTTGAATAACGGCGATTCTTTTTAATTATCTATGTGACAATGTACTTTCAACGAGATTTCTTTTAATTAACTTTGTAGATTTAAGTACCTATTATAAGAGTAGAAAGTTTAAGATTATATTATAACATGAAAAAAATGTGTACCTCTACGGTTATACTGTAGAGCTCAGACATCTGACATAATATTATATATTTACAATTTACATACCTTACCTATTATTCTGTGAACGGTCAAAATCATTTATCTTAAATTGTTTTTGTTTGGAACTCAATAAATTGTAAAAGTAACACTTAAAGTTTCCAGCATAAAATATTACTATCATTAGGTATAGGTATACTCATTGGCGTAAATAGTGTTTGAAATTTGGGGGGGGGGGCGGCTGAAGCTCAGGTCTATACCTACTCTTATGATGCTTTTAAATTATAGTAGTGAAATCATTAGTTTTTTGGGGGGCTAAAGCCCCCTAGCCCCCCTCCTATTTGCGCCTATGGGTATACTGAAGTCTGAAATGCATACAACACCGCTCCCCTGCATTACCCTGCGCAAGGGTGATAACAGCCTCTGTATATTCAGTCATAACTTCTTTTATTTTTTTTAAACTAATTTACGCTGCCTTGAAACTGTGACATGTCTTTATACGTTACCGTCACTTTATCATGTCGATATACGTTTATAAACTTACCAACACACAGTATGTTGAGGTACTTTACTTAATTAAATGCTTCTTTAAATTCACTCCTCAGACCACAAGTAGCTAACAAAATAATCTTCTCATCTAGTGGTGGAGGGGGGAAGGGTGCTTTGTTTATGATAGGAACTCATTAAATTATTTTCTTTTTCAGTTGACGCGTAATATGTCTATACTTGCAAATAGAATTTATTTAATTTTATCAAATATTACAACGCGTCGACACCCACTCAGTTTTTTGTCAACAAATTATTGTACTTCTATTTGATAAGTGGTTAGGAGTTGATTCAATGAAGCTATTGAAGCCTTCAATAGCGTACCTACCTGCTTAGGTAATCGCTGAATCAAAGTACCTCTATTGTATTTCATGTATTTATACCACACTTTTTGTGTGTTTTAGTGTTTATATTGGCTTACACAAAGCAAACGGTTCAGTTATTGCCACATGGCCCTATTGGTTGGATCATATAAATTTTAATTTAATTACACTGATTTTTTTTTCTTTGAATACACTACTAAACTACTGTTAGTCATACCATACACTCAATAATATCAATATAATATAGTGTATTAGTGTCACAATCATGATAACATTTTTAGTGGGAGATTTTTTACTATAAAATTCCTTAAAAACTAACCATTCATAGATATTCTAGTATAGGTAAATTAGGGCCCGTATTGCAATAGTCGATTACACTTCATTTACTCTTAACCCACTGATTTTACCAGCCGAATTCCGCGGTTTAACCAGAGATCAAATATTGTAATATGGGTCCTAAGTAAAAAAGCAAATAAATACTATAGAAATTCTAGAATTTATGGTACAATAGCCTATGACTAAAATTTAATAACTTAAATATTTAATCACTAATCAGATTACCTATTACCATTATATATTAATATAGATTATATAACATATAATCTATTGATTGATTTTACCCATTATAGTAACTACTAACAAGTAGATAGTAAGTATAAACTATTTCTTAAAACATATTTAAGATTATGTATTATAGTCATGAAAATGTAACATAATCATAATATCCATGCATTAAAACCAAACATAAGTTAGAATGACTCACAATCAGAAAAGTATAGCGTTTTAAATATTACGGATCAATAATAAGTAATAACTAAGGAGAATGAGGTGAAATCCAAAGAATCTTTGATAGCACAACTAGGGAATAAAGTGCTAAGGACTATATAGAAAAAGTTCTAAAATCAAAGACACTCTCCAAAAACCTAAAAACAAGAAGGGAAGTTGCAGAAATCAGAGACAAGTGGTATGATTTGATCTTAATGGCCAAAATAAAAAATAAAACACCTCATCAAACACAATTAAAATAAAAATTCTTTCTGTAAAAAATACAGAAAGTGAAGACATAATCGCACCTAACCTTCTTGCTATATAAATAATTCTAGGTAGGTAATATCAGTGTTATTTTTATAAGGATCTTTATATTTAATAAAAAAAATAATGGTATTTTACGCTTTAAATTTCAAACTTTTAAGTATATTTTACTCTTTTGTAAATAATTATCAGTTAAATATTTAGATAAAAAGCCTTTACACATCTGTAGTTTTTTTTATATATGTATATTGTCAAAATAATCACAAAATTATTATTCTGTATTATCCTTATAACATATCAGATAGAATATGATAGAAACGTCTTATTTTAAATAAACTCTTTCAACAAATATTACATTGTTACACATATACTGTGAGCTAAATATTTTTTTTCTAAATAAAATATCTTATATCTTGAAACAAGACTGATATTTATAAATTATCTTTAAAAATACACTAATATTTTACAAGCCCCCCTTCCAACTAGGTATATGATGCACATGCACATACATATTAGTATTGGATACAGATGAAATTGTTATGTAAATTATGTGAAACTATTGGCCTAAGTGACAAAGTATTAGTACATACTACATATGTCAGTTTTCTTCAGTCACCACCTTTAAAAACATAGTAATTGAGTGTTGAGTATAACCCATAATATATATAATTGTATAGTATTTTTTTCAAAGAAATATAATATAGGGAATCTTCTACATTTTAATATATGAATATTAGAAATAAACTTAGTACTTTATTGAATCCAGAGACATTTTATATTAAATAAACTATTACATGAGCTAAATTACTTTTAAGATACAGTAAGAAGTATATTATGTTGAGAAACTAATTATCTTTTTTTTTTAATTATGTATGCCAATAATTATTAATTAAAGAAAATATTGTCACTAAGTCAAATAAACTAATACATTTACATTTATTAAACTATTAAAATAAAAAATGTATGTTCAAGTTTTCAAAAATGTATGTTTGATTAAAAAACAATCCTACAAATAAAGTCAGATATAATATTTTAAATTAAAATTAGAATTGGATAAACATAAAAAAAACACATGATTTTAATGCATAATATACTGTAATATAATATATTATACTATACATAGAGTATATATATATATATATATACATGTATAATAAAATTCAACCATTTATTTTTTTAGATTAAATTGTTACTGTTTTCAAATAAAATTTTCCTCTGGTTCTTTAGGGGCATCTAGATCACGGTAATGAATTATTGGTCTGTAATCAAAGCCACCCAAAAATTAATACAATCTAATGTAATATGGCAAATAATTTTAAAAAAAAAAAAACTAAATATTATTAGCAAATATTTGAACCTACCTGCCGCCACCTCTAAAACCTCCACGAGCAGGTGGTCTGGAATAGCCATACATCCCTCGACCGAATCCAGCACCTCCATATGGTGGATAGCCAGGCATTTGGTATCTATAACATAAATGCACTAATTATAATTTATGTATCATACCTAATTGAAAGTTAAATAGTTAAACAATTATTTTTACGGATTTGCAGCTGGTGGATATGACTGAGGAGCATCATTCACATCTTTTCTACCTTGTTTACTACCAGGATGTTCAGGCAACTGTGGCCTCTTCAGATCACGAAGATAATTATTAAAATATTTCACCTTAGTAGAAATAAAAAGCATATATTTATTTAATTATTCATGAAAAATATATATTTCAATTTTAATTTACTTCTTTTTTAACATCGTCCAATTTATCAATATGCTTATTGAAAATATGTTTGCGCACAAATTCAGGACCTTTAAATTTTTTGCCTGATAAGGGGCATAGCCACTTGTCTTTTGATATCTCTTGTGTATTAGAAGTTACAAACTTCTCGATTTCTTCTTCTTCGTGTTTTGCTCCAAGCTGCATTAATTCTTTTTCACTTACTTCATGAGAAGTCGAGACAGTCAAAGAGTTAGCTTTGGTTTGAAAGTTGTTACAATAATCAGTGATTTCTTGCTGTGTAGGCTAAAACGAATGATTATTTAGCACTATTAACTTAGGCTGTTAATATTCAACAAATTAAATACATACCGGGTTACTGGGCAGTGCACAACGAGCATGCATAATTCCACATCTGTTTGGCATCTCATCTTCATTTACATACTCACTATGGTTGTAAAAGTCAACTGAATGTACAATACGTAAATACAGTAACATCTTATCTAAAGCCTGAAAATTCAAATACATTTTTACAACTTTAAAACAGCTATTTTATTGTACATATAACCAGTGCTTGAAATGGAAAATTGTAAAAACCAGAATACTTATAAAATTAATATGCCTTATGCAAATACCTATAATAAAATAGGTTTTAAATTTGGATTACTTGAATTTATGTTTACAATAAAATATAAATACATATGATCCGGACTCTTGAATTCTTAATTTAACTATCTGGAACAGACGCTAAACCTAATATTACAAACCAGAACACCATTCTGGTCCATTACAAGCACTTCATATAACATTGAATAAATAAAATAATATATATCATTAGTAATAAATTAAATCAATTATTACCTTAAACAGCTGCAAATCTTTTTCAGTATTATCTTCAGGTTCACAAGTAGCATTTTCACCTAAAAGTTCTTCTTCTTCAGCAGACGCTTCTTCGATTAAAAAATCTGTGATGTTATGTAGAACTGGATTACGTGATACAACACCATAAGTTTTTTCTGAGGCTGGTTGCTCGCCATCAGTTAATTGCCATAAGCCTGAACGGTTATCAAAGTTGTTTATAATACTGGCGCATAGTTTCATATCATTGCGAGCAACTTGTCTGTGATTTGTTACTCCATTCACAGACCGTATGCGTTTACTCAAATCTCTATTGACTATAGCACCCAGCTCACTGTCACGCAACTGTAAATTACAATATAACTAAATTACTAATTACAATATTTAGATTTATGTTAGGTGGTTTCAATAAATTAAATAGGGTCCAATTTTAACATTTTAAAAGTACTGTAGAATACTAGAATCCGCTTATAACGATCTTCACGTGACCTAGAAAATCAGATTGTTATATTTGGATGACAAAAGCATACTGCACATGATATATAAACCCAACCAAGTACATGGCCTGGGAATCATTTTATCCGATATACGTTATCGTAATAAGCAGATTTTACCAAAGTAGTTTTAAATATGTACCTATAAAATATTGATTATTTATAACTAAGACTAGTTACATTTAATAATATTAAATGGTCATTTTTAAGTTTAAGATTAGAATTCAATGTCATAATGCGAAACGCAAATATAGTTCAATAATGTGAAAATACATTTTACGTGTAAATATTAAATCACAACAATTTTAATTTTAAACTTACTCTAACACTATTAAGATTCCAACAAATTTCTTTTATGTTAACATCTCTATCAAATGTTACCCAACCACGTCTAAACCAACGGCGCTCTGGTAAAGGATCTGCTATAGACAATCTTATAAATCCTGGGAACCGTTTACAAATCTAAAAGAAAAATTAAAAAGTATATTAAATATATTTTCTTTAATTTATGACAACTATCAAGGTACAATAGAAAAGTGAAATCTGTTATATACTCCGCCACTTTGCATGACTAGCTAACATTGGAAAAAAAAAATTTTAGATGGAAAATTGGTTATCGAGAAGTAAACAGCCAATGTTACAGTAGCTATCAGATAGATTTGTTAGTCAAGAGTTGCCTCACAGTATTTATTTTAAAATATAAATTAAAGTTATTTATATATAAAAATCACTTACTGTTTCAAGTTCACTTTTGGTTATTGCAGGGGCTAAATTACGTAAAAATACAGAAGTTGTACGATGCAATGCTCTTGGTTTCACAACATCATCCTGCGATATACATGGAATATTATAACATTAATTATACATTAAATTTAATATTTTTTAAATAAATTTATACATTTTGATCACTATCATTTGTAATATCCAAGACTTCTGGTTTTTGACCATCCACATCCATCACTTCTATAAACATATTATACAACTATATTTGTTATTTATTATATAATTATTTTTGCAGACAATTAGAACTTCAAAACTTGATAATATCAAACAATTAAAATTTAAAAATATATTTAACCCATTGTTAACCTAGGGGTTTTATTATTTTAAAAATTTAGAGGCCAGTTGTATCGTCTACGGTTACACTTTGATTAAGCTCAATCAGCTGATAACAGATTTTATAACCGGGTAAATTCGGCCAATTAAACTTTGGTTAATTTTAATCAGAGATGGTACAACTGAACCTAAGTGAAACTAAATTTAAGTTACCTTCACTTTTTTTTACTTCAGAATCGTTTTTTTTATTTGTTTCATTACCATCTTCTTTATCACTGTCTACTTCACCATCAGAATTTCCTCCAGCACTACAATTATATTCATCAATTCAGAGTTTAAGTATTTAAATTTTATTTTATATTTATATAAAATGAACAAATGTATGAATAAAGTTCCATACTTAATTTTTTTATCTGTTTCTTTCTTTTCAGGTTCTGGTCCCTGTTTGGCTTTTAATATCTCTTTAGGATTCAACACTGTTAAATCAAAATCCGTACCTCCTTCAAGTTTTATCACTACTGAATCAAGAAGATGGACTAGAGGCTCTGGATTATCAGCATCCACACAAACTGATTCAACTTTGCCATTTTCTAAAAATTCTTTAAAAACTTCTAACCGTTTCTAAAGGTAAGAAAATAAAATGTACATTGGACATAAATAAAAATTAAAAAAATGTAATGCTTACTTTAAGTGCTATAGTTTGCTCTTCCTTTCGTTTTACACTATCATCAGGATGGTATTTAATCTTAAACCTTTTAAAATTACAATGTTACAATATACATACAATACACTTGTATACATCAAGAATAAATTATTTATATAATTTACCATTCTTCATCTTTATGGGCAACAAAAAATTCATTAAGTTGATTTCTTTTAAACTGCAATTTGTATTCATTATATTTAGCTAATGCTTCTTCGTCAGTTATGTTATCATCTTGAGTAATCAAAAAAGACTTTAAAGACATCATAGGTGGTTGAGTATCTCCTGAAGACTGTTCTGCTGGTGGTGGAGTCGGGTGATTTACTGTATGTGCCCCAGGGTCTCTCATTGTCATAATTCTGAAATTATTTAGTATAGGTACGTAAAGACATATTTTAACATTTAATATAAATTTTAAATATTTACCTAGAAACAGGAGGCATATGATGCGCGGGAGGTTCCCAAGGTGCACCATAACCATAACCAGGAGGTTCATAACCAATACGTCTGTCTTCCCTTTAATTGTTAATAATTCATTCATATTATTTTTATTATAATTATTTTAAATTATACCCTTACACTAGTTAATGTAAATACTAACCAATCTGGAGGCCTCATTCTCTTAACTGGAGGTGATAGATCTCTTTGGGCACCTGGACTATAACGATCACGCATCGGGCCTCTATAATCTCCTCGACCTCGACTACGTGCACCCCATGTTTCTCTATGAAGTAAATAATAATTTTATATTTCTTTAAAAACAACAAATATGTAAATTGTAACTATATAATATGTATAGATAATAAAGGGCATTTAAAATAATTATAAATGTATATCTATCAATTTACTACTAAACATTAAAACATAGAAAATAATATTATACTATATGAAGTATTGAATTTGAATGATAAAATAAATTATGTGAGACAAAAAAAGCCCTTTAATTGTTAAATGATAAGTACCTTGTAGTTTTCATCAATCGGCTAAAAAATAAAAATATATAATAATATAATAGGTTTAGATACACAATATTTAAAAAAAATAAAATACGGTAATATTTTTAATTTATTGATGTTTAATTAGGTATATATATATAGTCATGTTTTATTCAATGTTTTAGTAAAGAGTTTATTTTCTTAATACAATTATTATTTTTTGATTTTAAATATGTTCAAATCCATGATTCACTTATATCAAAAAAAACGTGAACATGTAGGTACAAAATTCAACATTCATTTTGAAGGAACTTGTATGAAGTTTAGGTTATTTAAATGAAAGTTAAAGTTAAATTTATTTTTAATATTATTGTATTGATGTTTCATTTACATCATGGTATCAACAAATTCACATTGATGAACAAAATATTTAAAAATGTTTAATGTTAATACATTTTAAAACGCTCATATCTCACTTTGAAATAAAAAATATAAATAAAAAAACCTACGAGATACACTAGATAAAAACTACTCCATTTCAAAATTTGATAATAGGTGAATTCACTCTAATATTAAACCTAACCAAGTTAAATGGATTATTTAGAACGTACAATTTGCTATGGTAAGCGTTTGTAAGACAGAAACAACACTATGGATATAGCTTCCTAGTTGAGTTTTTTGAAATGTATCTATATAAAATTTTAAAAATATAATATTTGGTGTTTATTTTATGCATGTTAAAAGTTATGTTATACAATTTATATTGGAAATGCATTAGATTCGTATCATTGATAAGTTGTATGATAACTATAGAGGGGACAATTTTAATATCAAACTATAACGTAGGTTAGAATATTAAACAGAAATATTTTTAAATAGGTACCTAAATTTTATATCGTATAACTCTGTTTTAATTTGGCTTTGATTTAAATAAATTTGGTGTCCCACTGTGATACTTGCTGTGATTATATTGGATATATGAGACATACTTTCTTGCTGGGCAGGGTAGAGGTATAGAAAAATTATGTACAAAGTGAATTGACATCTAGGCATCAGGTTAAGACTAATAGTTAGTATATTTAGTATCTAAAGATCCTATATTGGTTACCATTTTTAATCTACAAGTCCTGAAAATATTACATCTAGGGCCTAAAATTGTCAGTCCCCCTTTGCATGTATAGTAAAGTAGATATCTCTACAAAGGTTTAGCAGGAAGAACACTACCTATAACCTATTTTTTTTAACTAGATACAAACTTTTTTAACAAATTAAATACAAATTTTTAATGGTATCACAAAAAGTTTAACACTGTAAATCTAAAGTTATGTTACCTGTCATTCCAATCATCACGCATTCGGCGGTCATCTCTACGGTTATCACCGCCTCTTATTGATTCGGTACGTTCGCCTCGAAATTTATCCCTTCGCTTCCTATCGTATTCATCATCGCTGTCACCCATACTATCTAATTCACAGTTTTCGCTATTTTGACCTACAAACATTTTAATATATTGTACAACATGAAATAAAAATGTATTCAATAAAAAAACAGTAAGGTAACATAGACTTATGGTACCTAGATTAATTATATGGAATGTATTTTTCGAACGTATCAAACATCCGGAAAGGTAAAATACATTTAACCCAACTTAATTATATGTACTTGGATTATAAGCAATATATCTAACACAGATAATTAAATGAAATAACGATGTAACGTAGCGTTATAAGTTTATAACTTATAAGTCGTAACCTAGTAAACTCAAAATGCAAGCGGTAGGCGACTTACTGCTTGAGTTGAAATAATAAAATCACACAAATTGGAACTATAGGTATAAACTGTGCAAACAAATTTTGAAAACAGTGTAGACAACATAACATACAGGGTGTCCCGTGAGGATTTACTCATTGCGATATCTCCTGAAATAATAGAGATATCGACGATATCGTAATTCTGTTTTCTTATTAAGACTCACAGAGGTAACTACAAATAACTTATTTTTTATTTTTTTTTATGTTTTGGTAAAAAAGTTAAAAAAATTATTTTTTTAATTAATTATTTAAAAAAATATTGAAGATTGCCATTTTGTAGAGTTCATTTTTCTGAAAATATTGACCTTTCAACATTTGAATTTCATTAATTTCCTGATTTTTAATAATTTTTTTAATTAATAAGTAAAACGGCGAAAAACCGGTTTTTGTCCGGGCGGCGAGTCCCCCTCTACGGCTAATAGGTAAATCCTCACGGGACATCCTGTATTACGGTTTACAAAAACCATAACTTTTGTCTTTTACACAATAATAATATATAATAATAATATTTTTGTTTACTTAAATCATATTATACAACAACTTACTGTCTAGTATCACTATATACCTAGTATAATACTAGTATACTAGAATATATAAAATATAATTAGTAAATGATCTAAAGCTAAATCATTGATTAAATCAACATTTTATGCACAGGAAAATGTATTAATATATTTTAATAGTATATATAAATTCTAGTTGGAATTAATTGCTTACCATATTATAATGGGCAATGGCAATTTAAATTAAATTTTGCAATGTGTTGATGTACTATGTACAACTAGGGTTGCCACCTCTCCGGGTTTCACCCGGAGAATCCGGGTTTACGTATAAATCTACGGGCTCCGGGTTCAGTGAATTATTCTTCGGGTCGGAGATAAAGATAAGATAACATACGGTTTTTTATTATTATGCCTTTTTTTTTTTATTAGTTTCCGGTATAAAAACCATTTATTCAAGATAACAAGAATAATAAGATTATGAACTACGGTTTATGATTTTATGAGTCTACGATTACGATTTTACGAATCTGTTTCAACATCACAGTCGAGTGTGTTTGATCGAATCCGAATATCTGCTTTTAATTTTTGTGTCAGTGTAACCGTGCATCGATATTATAAAACTACACAGAATTTGAAAAGTAATTAATTAATGACCACATTTATGCAGAGGCGTACCCAGGATTTTTTTTATGGGGGGGGGTCCAAAATTTTTATTTTATCTGTTCTCTAATTAATAATTATAATTATAGTTTAATTCATTACCAAAATATTACTGTTAATAACTATAATATAGTTACAATAGTCAATAGTTATACACTCACTCACAAGTCACAGTACATATACAGAAAGGTGTATAACAATAGGTAGGTACTATAATTTGTAAATGTAAATGTAGATATCTCAATGGGGGGTCCGGACCCGACCCCCCCCCCCTTGGGTACGCCCCTGCATTTATGACTATATGACTAAACGACCTTTTTTTTTTTTTTGCTTATCGGCCTGTCTCCGGGGCTGCTTTCTTTCAAAGGTGGCAACCCTATGTACAACATTTTTTAATGAGAATAAAAAAAAGGTGGGTAAGTGGATGTCGCTCTGCTGTACTGTAGGTTACGAGTGGGTCACTGTATAATGGATGGTATTAAATTTGAATTCAATGATAAAATATCATTGTATAAGAAAAACGATTCTGAGCGAAGAAGGTATGTCAGTCTAGGTTTAAGACATATTATATACATATCTATGGTATTAAAAAAAAATTGACCTATAATAAATTCCAAATTAATCATATCACATTATCACAATATCCATTAGGTACTTATAACACGTTATACATCAACATCAATAACAAACCCTGATACTATCATAGATATATAATATAGTGTACCTACTTTAGAAGTTTCAAGTACCCACGAATAGTATTATACACTCACAACAAAATAACTAAAATAGGTATGCTAGGTTTTTTAATATGTAATTTCGTCCCAAATTTGAACTTAAAATGTCTGTAAAAAATAACTGTGCTCATATATTTTTTAGATTTTTTGGCTACAGTATGAACTATTTATGAGAATCTTTTTTTTAAATTTTCAATCCTTAGCTATAAAAACTGAACATTTTATAATTTATTAATTACGATGGCCAAAACCTACCTAATAATAAGAGTTATTCATTTCAGTTGTAATATATCCTATAAATTATTTATTTCAGATACTTCATTATGCAAAAAAAGTAACATGGTACTCGATTATCATAGAAGTTTTTATATTGATAATTTGTGCTTCTATGATGGTGATGAAATTAGGTTAGTCAGAAAAAAACTGTAGTTCTTACCTATTATACGTAGCTGGTCTTGTGGTACATAGACTTAATCCTTTTACAGTTACATTGAAATTTTTTAGATTTTTCGGTAAGAGAAACTGAACATTTTATTATTTATTAATTACGATGATTAATAATTTTCGAGATTTTGAAAAATTCTGTCAAAATTCGATGTTAAAATGCTTATAAAAAAAAATTGTGACTATGTATTTTTAATATTTTTCAACTGATATTGTGAAAATATATCAGGAGCCTTTTATTAAATTTTTACACTTTTTGGCCCAACAGATAAAACTTAATTGATATTTATAGAAAAAAAAAACTAAAAAAATTGAAAACTGAAAATGTCCGTAAACGGCTCAAAAAGAGTCAAAATATTTTCAAAATTGTATGGTGTATAGGAAATGCTAATATAAATATTCAGTGAAATTTTCATGTATCTACAGTAATTCGTTTTTTAATTACAACAAAAAAAGGAAATTGCCACATGAGAAATCGAGTGAATATCCAATGTTGTAAAAATTTGAATTTCAAACGCTCATAAAAATTTAATTTGACTTTCCGGTAGAGATTTTTTTATTGATAAAGGTAGACAATCTTATGAGTAATCTTGTATTAGATTTTCAAATCTTAGATTTAAAAAGAAAAATTTTTACGAATTCTTAACTCAAAATAATTTGCTAATTTTCGTGATTTTTCCATATTTTGTCAATTTTTGAACTTTAAATGCTTATAAAAAAAATTGTGACTAAGGATTTTTAATATATTTCATCTGCCTTTGAAACAATATATTAGGAGCCTTCTATTAAATTTTCAAGCTTTCGCAACCAACAAATAAAATTTTATTGATATTTCTAGAAAAAAAACTAAAAAAAAACGAAAAACGAAAATGTTCCTAAACTGTTCAAAATAAATCAAAATATTTTGAAAATGTTATCGTGTATAGAAGATGCAAATATAAACAACCAGTGAAAATTTCATGTACCTACGGTCATTTGTTTTAAAGTTACACCAAAAACAAAATTCAATTTTCTGAAAAATCGATTTTGCGTAAAAATTCCCGTTTTTCCTTCATTTTTCTTTTGTTTTTCTTGGCGCTTTTGAAAAGTACTGTGAATTTTAAATTTTGACTTCCCCAATGCACCAACGATATTCACTTTCCAATCGAACAAGATACTGAAGTCGAAAATCGAAGCATTATTTCGACTACTTATCGTGTACACAGATACAAAAAAAAATAAAAAAACACACATCATTGTAAAACCAATACATTCATCGCTCCGCTCAGAATCTAAAATAAAATATACCGTTCACTTCATAATAATACCAGAGATCAGCCCTTTATGGTTATTAATTATTATGATTTATGACTACGGACTGCGGTAGTACGGTCTTAAAAGATTAATATGAATACAATTTAATAAACCTTTTTTATCACTAAAATGGCAAGCTTGTACAGATTAATTTGATCATGGTTAAATGAGGGGTGTTGTCAAATAGTCATAAAATTTCTCGTCAAATACCTATGTTATCTATGTCAAATAAGCATTATCACGTTTTCTGCGCATCTATTAAAAAATGTATGCATCAATTTCCAAGTTCCAACGAAACTTTGAACGTGACGTCAGCATTGAGATGTTGCGCAATAGTTTATTAATATACCTAGTTATTTGTAAATAAATTTTAGGAAGCAAAATATAGTGATGATAAAATAAAAATATGTAAAAGTCATGATTAAATAAATAGGTATGATTACAAAATCCTGTTTTCGTCCGGTTTGCGCATCTCCCCACTATTCTACACACAAAACCATTGTTCGTAGATCTCAGCACGTCATTGGTCGGCAATATCAATATAGAAGCGGAGAAGTACGCGATAGCCGATGGACGACGTGGAAGGGTAGTATGCGTATCACAAAATTGTAATCATACCTATTTATTTAGTCATGGTAAAAGTCATACTCGCTGATAATAGCATCATAACAACAAAATATTATTAGGCATACAACTTTGGAGTTGAGACTTCCTGAAACTGGATTTTTTCGTTTTTAAAACCTTGTCGCTTTGTCAGTGTTCGAATACATGTTTTTGCATTTATAATGATCGACTATAATTTTTTCTCAACTAATATTCTATAATGTACAGTTTTGAAGGAGAATTTCGCAGGAAACCTGAGCAAAATTATGCAGGAGCTAGTGTGCACGAACCTGTCAGTAATCTTATACAGAGAGCTCGGTATGAACGAGAACAGAGAGAAGTACGTGATCAAACTCTATTATTATAAAATTGTGTATGAAAACGTACAGTTATAATAGATTATTGTTATATTGTATTTAAAGGAAGCAAGACGCGAACAACGACGCGTTATTA